AGCTTGATTCAAAAGTAAAACAAATAAAAACAAACACTAAAAACAAAACAGAGACTAAATAGATAATATTTTTTAAAAGGTAAAAAATATGAAGTTAGAAGTTTGAGACCTCCTGCTGATCTCATGCTCCCCATTCCTATATGAACTGAACACTTGTCACATACTATTCTGTATTAGAACCATTTTATGTGACTTATTCCTTTATAATATTACAGGCTACTTGGGAGCAATGAGTGGATTATATTTGTCTTTACATTCTCCATAACATTTAGCACACTAGCTTTCACATTGTAAATTCCCAATAAATATTTGTTAGGTGAATGAAAAACTAGATCAATGTGTCTACTCATTGTAATTATCTAATGTCCCAGACAGATCCCTCTACTTTTTTTTTTATCTCGATCATGGAGCAGCAAAGTAGTAGAAGGACCAGCTATTTTAATGAACTAATGTGAGTCAGATAATATATTACCATTTATCATGCACTTTTAAATATAACTTATTATTTATTTTATTGCTTAATGGAACCATACATACTTTACTTCAGGGAATGGGGTAATAGAAGAATTTATGAGCTAGCTCCATTAACTGTGAAGGCAGGGGAGGCTGGTTCTGTGTGAAGCCATAGGCTGATATTTGACTTGCCTAGATTGATTACTAGTACTTTTCTGACCACATTGTCTTGCTGCATTAATTTAAAAGGATTTAAAATATCCAGAAATACAGAAAATTCATAATAAAAACATATGTGCATATGCTACCTTACAAGATCAAATACTAAGACTTTCTCAAACTCACTATATTCAATAATAAATTATTAATTATGATGTCATTTAATTAATTTCTACAATTAATTTCATTCTTTCCCCTTTTATTCAGAGGTGACAACTCTCTTGCACATATATATATATATATATATATATACTGTGAATAAAATATAACATTATTTTGTATACTTTGTATACCTTGTTTTGTATATTTTAGCTTTTCTTTAAACAATATTTTATTGTCTCTAATATTCCACAACTTATTGTTTTCAAAATATTTGAGATTTATATATGCTAATATTTTAGGTCTGTATGCTTTGTTTTCCCTGACACAAATTTCCCAATTTATGCGTATTTCCTCATTCATTTATCAGTATTTGCAAATGGGCATTTAGTTGTTATGAATTATTTTGTTACTAAAAAGTAACTAAATCATTATACAAATCATTGTTTTAACATGATCTTGTACAGTTCCATATATTATTGCACTCAGCATAGAACAGAAATGGTGAAATAAGGTAGAGCATTTAGAATTCTCAGTTTCTGTACAATTGTCACAGTATTTAACTAGATTCCATATTGTGAGGAAACACAAAATATTTACAGTATGTTTGCATTTCAATTATAAAAACATTAGAATGAAATCATTTGAAAATGCATGTGAATTGAGAATTTATGTTATTAAATGATGAAGAGGATAGTCCTTCAATCAATGACAATGGGCTCTAGGATCTTCTATTGATTAGCTGAATGATTTTGTCCAATATATTCAAACTATGTCTCATTTCCTCATGTGTAAAAAGAGATAACGAATCCATTTAACAAGATTTTTGCAAATGAAATATAAATATGTGAAAGCTAATCATTTAGCCTATAGTTAGGAAGTATCAATAAATTCTCAACAAACTTGAGAATTTTTATAATTAGTAATATTTCTTTTACAATTTCAATAACTGAAATAAGCCATAATTTTGCATTAGATTTAAATGATTTTTGTTGTTATAATAATAACTTCTGGAAAATCTTTTGTTTTCCCTATATAAGTAAATGTAAAATGGGATATTTCGGTAAACTCTGGAGCTAAAGTCACAAAAATTTTAAAATGTACAATGCCATGAGGAATTCCGTCAATTTGTATTAAAATAGCACACCACTAAGAAACAGTAGTGTCTTTATTCTTCACACAGTTAAGAATTTTTTGGTATAAAAAGGAATTATTTTGTTAACAAACAAGGGAGTATTTTTATTACTATTGAGATTATATGAAAAAGTTTTAGAAATCACTGTACCTGAGAATTATGTTGACTAAAAAATGATGATGGAGATTTTCAAGGCCTCACCACAGGACTCTATTTTAGGAGTCAAAATGATGGTTTTTAAACAAAAAATAAGAGAGATACATAGATGTACCATGGCCCAACATACTTCTACACAAGAATAAGTATAGTACACTCTACAGAAATGGGTTTGCAAAGCTAAGTCTTCCATAAATGCTGGAGTTCTGGAACATAAGAAGGAAGGGTCTAAGCCTGTCTTTTGTATGTTAATATGCTTTCACAGCAAAAGCATAAGAATTAACACAGACTGCAGTGTTCTTGAAGAAAGACACTTACCTCCTTATTGCTTTCTGTGATGGATTGTTCAGAGCTAAAGGAATGCCAGGCCAGCAGCAAATCTCCTACTGCCCTATATAATTTTCTCAGTCTCCTTTTAAATAATACAAAGTCAGGACAATTTCACTGCCAGACCAGCACTTCTCCAGGAATTTTCCCATAATATGACAGGATAGAACCATCTCTAATACAAATCAACACTATTATTTTCAAAGTAAGCACTTTAAAAGGTTGCTTGAACAAGAAAAGACAAATTTTCTGAGCTGCATGCTATTTGGCAGTCAATGTGAGATTGCCTAGTGAATTGTACTGCACTGAATGTTACAACTTATTCTGAAGGTTCCAAGTTGAACTGAGTAAACAGTGTTAGATGTTTGATTAGTGTTAATATGCAAGATGTCATGATTAGGTATGATTGTTCTTTTAAATTACCACACTTTCAAAAATTCTTTCTTTGATCTCTAACAGACAGTGAGAAGAAAATGTGTAATTTAAAATATATTCAGTTTGACTCAGAAATTCATTTACACTTTTCAAATTTATTGTTACCTAAAATATATAGCTAAATGATAAAATAATTATAGCTTGCAAAAATGAGGTCAACTTCTTTCTCTTTTTCAAATTGTGCTGATTGCCATTTCTCTTTTAAGTTCTTGAGTCTAAATTTAAAGTAGGAGATTTATGACCAATATTTTATGCAAACTTTTGAGAGATAGTAAGGAACTTGACTTTATGAGGTAATTATACTTAAATAATCATAGCTGAATTCGCATTAATTTTCAGGTTCTCACATACATGGGACTGGAAACCACTGTGTATGTGTGTGTGTGTGTGTGTGTGTGTGTGTGTGTGTGTCTTATAGATTTTATGTTCCACTAATGCAATACAATTTTTTTTTAAAAAGTTTTCTGGCATTGAATTCTCATGTTAAGTCTATCTTTTGATTAATCATGTAGTCACATGAAATGATTGAACTATCAATAAAGGGAAAATTTCACACACAATCTTAAAGTATTTTAAAAATACTTTACTGTGAAATGCTCCTGAAACTATATATTTTGACAAGGCCTGCTTCCACTTAAGCATATATAAAGTCAGCAGGCAAGTCTCTCAATAATCTAATAATCAGTTATTTTATCTGTCATCTCACATCAAACCATAATTTTTTCACAGTTGTATTTAACTCACCTGACTCTAGCCACTATTAATGTACTTCCATAGCTTGTAAAACATCAAATTATTACTCTGTCTATTTTAGGTTGTTTGTACTAATGATTTATTTTTATTTTTTCTAGGATATAGACCCGCAGCTAACTGGATTTGATTTATAAGAAGGAAATCTACAGTCAATGGCCACTCTGCCACATTGCTACTATGGAAAACAGAATGGTCAATAGGACATAGTCTGATAAACACTGATGATTGAAAATGCTGCTTCAATACGTGTGAAATCAATGGGAGATGCTTGCTGCATGAAGAGCTTTCTGAGCTTTTCTCCAGAAGTTCACCTTTGAAAAATTGGAGGCATAACTAGCAATATCCAGTCTTTCTCAAGTGGATATAAATACATTTGCCTCACTGAAACCGGACAACTAGACAACTAATGTGGGACCATGGCACTTGCCAGATGCATGTGGCCAAATTATGTTTGGAGAGCAGTGATGGCATGTTTGGTACACAAGGGATTGGGTGCCTCGTTGACTCTCTGTATGTTGGGAAGTTTGCTTCAGGCTGCCCACGTGCTTTCAGAAAAATTGGATGATGTGGATCCACTGGTGACTACCAACTTTGGCAAGATAAGAGGGCTTAAGAAAGAACTCAATAATGAAATTTTGGGGCCTGTTATTCAGTTTCTTGGGGTTCCATACGCAGCTCCACCAACCGGAGAACATCGTTTTCAGCCTCCAGAGCCACCATCTCCGTGGTCAGATATCAGGAATGCCACTCAGTTTGCTCCTGTGTGTCCCCAGAATATTATTGATGGCAGATTGCCAGAAGTCATGCTTCCTGTGTGGTTTACTAATAACTTGGATGTAGTTTCATCATATGTGCAAGACCAGAGTGAAGACTGCCTGTATTTAAACATATATGTCCCAACCGAGGATGGTGAGTTTATTGAAGGAAAAACAGGGAGATATACTTATTTATTTTTTTCTATTCTAAGTTCTAACAATATTAATTCATGTGTACTTGGTAGCATGCATGGCTTTTCCTGTTGGCATGTAGACATATTTTACATGCTTGCATGGTGCTCTTTTGGTTTATGTGTGTCAGTGTATCTATTCTTATTTTTTCCTGTGCCTACTCATTTTCTTTCTTCCACAGCACGTATAATTAGGTAGAAATGGGCTCCTAGTTTCCATTTCCTACCAAATGACTTCTGAGAAGATGCATCAACATTTCCTCATTGCATGTGCAGGCTCAACGAATCGGGGATCCTTCGCACTCAGTCACTGCAGGAGTGTATTGAGTTAGATAGCATTGCATGTTCCGGCGGTCTGTGATGGAGCGCCATGTTATTTTCTAGTCTTCTATTCATTTTTCAGTAAAAAGAATATCCAAGGAATGTGCCAGAAAGCCCGGCAAGAAAATATGTAGAAAAGGAGGTATGTATAAAAGTGAAAATTAAAAAATGGGTTGAAAGCTTACAGAGGAACAACAAGATACTCTCCCTAAGGATGATTTGCTGATGCTGTGAAGTGAATGGTTAGGTGATTGTTGGAATTTGATTAAGTTTGGCTAGGAATAGTAAGGCAGATAAAGGGAGGTATGAGTAGGTTACTTTGGCAAAGTTCATTGGTGGTGCCTTGTGTTTTAGTGCTGGTAGCATCAGCAAGAAATAAATCTCTGCTGGAATTTGTTTCTTGAGACAAATATATCAAGGTGCCTTCAAGGAACGCTGACAATGTTGCCTTAGCACCCGTTCAATTTTAAGAGCTTTAAACTTTCCTGACCAGATGTAAACTTGTGTTTCTCTTCAAAATTCTCAGTTCACTGCGTCTGCTTCACAAGCGCAAGGTCCTGAGTTCGATCCTTGTACTAAAAATAGAAAAGAAAAAATATTCTCAGTTCAGTCACAAATTTTGTTTTTGTTTGTTTATTCTTAGCTTTTTCTGAACATCTTGTGAATTTTCTTTTCTAAAAAGTAAATTTGTCAAAAATATTTGACAATTACTATTATTGAGAAATTGTATTTTTTCCAGGCCTTTTTCATTTTCAGTTTGTCTTTGTGAAGAGAATGAGATTTTTAGATTTTATGCTAAATATTTACATTCTTAAAATTACTTCAACATTTTTATATTTATGTTAAACAACTTAGAATTTAGGGAAGAACATGATTCAGAAGCTACAATTAAATCAACCTTCAAATCATCCTCTAGCCAGATTGAGCAAATGTAGACAATGACAGCTGCAAGCTTGCATCTGAATGTAGCTTGTCCACACTCCATTTTTATATAACATTCAGTAAATCACTCATAGGAGAGTATGAATTTCTATGGCAGAATCATCTGAGTTATTTTGACCTTATTCATAACTTTGTGGAATTTCTAGTCTTCATACAGAAGTCATATTAATATTCCATTCCTGCATATTCTATCACTCTATGCACTTCTAATATCCAGCCTGGACCAAGTCAGATTTCATTATAGCATCCTTGTGGGGCTGGGAGTGTCTAAACTGTTCTGTTTTACTGTGACTGCATTATATGGAACACACTTTCTAAAATAATATTCTCAACTATGGATCAAAACTATTTCATTAAATTGACTTTTTTCTAACATTTCTTGGTAATACTGGTAGAATGGAACTTACCCTTTATTTGTCTTATTGAGGCTAGAATTCAGGTTAAAACACAGTGTACTTACAAAGATAAATATCAAAGACACAAGGGTGTTTTTGAACAACTAAAAAAGTCTCTTGTTTTTCCCCAAATGAGAATAACTGCAGTAATTTACATGCTTTCAACTAATGTGCAATACAGCAGTGGTTATTATTATGCAGCTTATCAAGTATGTGTAATTAGCTAAGTGACTTTCACCTCCTATCACAACAATGTTGATTCACAAAGTCATAAATAAAGATGCTATTGAAGAATGCATAAATAGAGTACAATGCATAAAAATACGTGTGATCAAGAAAAAGATAAGGTCACCAAAAGGTAAGATAGTAAGCTAGTAAGTGACCTTTCTCCCATACAACTTTAGAGAGAAAATAATTTATTAGAAATGTATTTTTCATTGTTCTTTGGATTGTTGGTTCCATCAGCTTTATAAATCAGTTGGCAAAGAGGTATGCAGACTGTACGATTTACCTTGGCAAAGTTTGAACTAATTTGTAATTGGAGTGAGAACAGCATCTATAGACTTCTTGAAGCTGCCTGGTTCTATTGTGCTTTTTCATATTCTTAATTAAGCATTCTTTAGTATTTTGCTTGGGAATTTAATATATCCTATTATAAATAAATTCTGTTCATTTATTATCTGTTGGTACACTATAACAAAGTGTAAGTGTGATTTTCTATATAAATAGTAGTGTTTGAAAAATAAAAATGAAAGTTTAGACGTCTACTTTTAAATATAGTAGTAGAAATTTTCTTCCCACCCCTTTGACTCTTTTCCTTCTCTAACATGAAGGGTCTACTTTGGTCACTTCAAATCATTATTATTTTGACTCCAAAAGTTACTAGCCATTTGAAATTTATTTATGCCTGTACTAACAAATGCTGCACATTGACTACATTCTTTAGCAGAGTTCCAATGTTTTATAAATGGTGGTTCAGAAACTATAAAAATAATTGTGTTGTCTTTTTTCTAGGTGTTAATGAAATACTGGCTTGCCATTATTTACCTTTGTTTTTTGTTAGTGTGTACAGTCATTTGTAGAGGCAGATGGACTCCTATCCTGTGCCAAGTACACTATAGTCTGTGCATACTGTGTTCATTCAGAAGTATTTCCTAATTGCCAATTATAAGCCATGTTGTATTCAAAGGGAGTCAGTAATGAATGAGGCAGAGAATCCTCTTTCCATAGATCTTACATTCAAGTAATTCTACAAAGAACAACATATTTTCTGCACTTTGATCTGTAGAAAAGGAGGAAAATATTTTCCTTCCTCCAAGAGGTATCATTTTGTAGTTTTTAAATAGAGCTTTTATAGTATTTTCTTGTGCATTTGAAAAAAAGAAACACTCTTTCATCAGTAGGCTGCCTCTCATTTTAAAACAGGTCCCAGTTGCACATTTTAATCTATCGTTTCATATTTCCCAAGATAGTTTTAACCAAATGTTAATTATCACCTAAATATTTCTTTAGGGTTTTATCCTTGCAAAATTGAAAAGCACAGTGAATGCTTGAAATGAATATCAACACTTGGTAAAAATTGGTCAGATAATGTGATAGAAACTGGTATTTGGACATAGTGAACATTTGCATATTAGGTGTTTTGCATTATTTATCCATTTACTTATCAACTTTATGAGAAATATATATTTCTATTTATTTCACAAACAAGAAAGTAGATTCTGAGAAGTTGGTTATTTTAACCCAGTGTCTACTGGTAGCACCAGTAGAGGCAGATACAGCCTTAATTCTTGGCCATAGTAGGTTTTATTATGTTGATTTACCTTCTAGGGATGATTCATTAACATAGTCAATGATCTCTCTATCCTTATTCTTTTTCTCTTCCTCTTTTTCTTCTTTTTGCATTCAATATCATGAGTTCTTTTCATTCTTTGAATTCACAAAAGTTTAGATAGATCCAAAGCTCACGTTAAAAGAATTGGGTCAGAACAATGCTTGTAACCCATTTCTAAAATTATACATATTTTGGAAATAGTACATATTTTCTTACTGTCCAAACCAAGATCCCAGCACATTCCTCTGGCTGCTATCAAGGAATAGCTTTAACTTGCTTAAGTTTCCCTTTGTTTCTCTACATATTCTCTTGTGAGAGTAGCTAATAAACATCAGGGTGGGCAAATGTTAGGCAATAAATATGAGGAGGAACAACGGACCTAGAGAATCCAGAACAAACTGAATGGCTCCTGGATGATCTAGACCTGTGCAGCCTTGTATTTCTCAGAACTTTGACTATAATTTGATAGCTTTTCTGAGATGAATACAAAATTTATTTTATTTTTCCACTTGTGAGATATTGCTTATTTAACCCAATTTTGTTATATAGATTAAAATCTTTATAGGTGATCTAAATATAATTACTTACTACTTTAGCATTTTCTTCCTGATTTTCAAAAATATGCTACATGCTTTGCTTAATAGGCTTCACTTGAAGTGATATTGAACTTATTCAACAACATTTTCCACAGATTTAAGGTGTATTTGTTTCACATAGGGAGTGATTTTTTCCCTAATTAAATATGTATAATAATGAATCCTCTCCATGTCAATGTGTTTAGAATTTTAAAAGGGAATTATATTCCAAAATGCTCTTTCTTTTGGCTTATATATTTCTAACTAATTTATCAATTTAACAAGTATGTATTGAGTGCTTGCTCTGTACTAATTATAGCTCTAGACATGAGGGATATATTAGTGAACAAAAGAGAAAAAAAATCCTTGCTCACTTAAAGCTCATATCCTAGTGCAAGGCAGATTTTATATAGTAAACACAAGAATCAACTGAATTTAAATGGTGAAAGAAGGCAAGAAATAAACAAAATACGGAAGATCAAGAATACAGATGTAGAGGTTGAAGGTAATCTTAAGTAAGATGGTCAGAATAGTTCTTGAGAGAATTCCTGAAGGAAATGGGGTGGATTTCTGGGAGAAAATTCAAAGAGCTAGTGTAAAAATATTAAGGGGCAATTTATCTTGCATATTTAAGCAACAATTAGGAACACAGCTTATCTGAAAAGGAGTAAGAGAAAGGCAATGAAGGTCAAAATATTTGTACTACCTTCTTCAAATACCGTTTGGCTGCTGTATCGAGAGTAGATTGTAGGAGAACATAGAGAAACAGGGAGAGCAATAGGAAGATGTTGCAGTGCAGCAAGACCCAAGCATAGTCCAGGCTTGCACCAAGGTAATATCAATGGAAGTAGCAGATTCTCCATATGTTTTGACTTCTTGATCAGTTTGTTGTGGGA